GGATGTGTATATAGCCCTTAAAATAAATATATTAACATCATAGGGTTAGATAAAGCTTCATCATCCCAAAAATGAGGTCGATTGATGCATGAAGTTGGTAAGTCAGCCATTAAGTTTCTTCAATTCTTCTACAGCATAATTTAACTCATAAATATATATTTTCTTAACCTATTTTAACGTAATACAAAAAATACATCAAGGATCATTAAGATAAAGGTAAATACAATTTTCCCAACCCAATTTTAAAAAGTGCAAATAGATTTATATGCATAGTTTATTAGCCTTAGTTTGATATTGTAAACCTTTACAAATTTTGCTTACTAAATAAAAAACACGAGAAAGGTATGTACTAATACAGCAATACATACCTCAAGTTTGTCCTTCTTAGTCTTATGCTTCCGTGGAAGAGCGCAAAACTCTTTTGTGAGACGGATGCATGCTTTTATACAATACTACAAACAACACAAGGAAATGATGGCAGTGGCGAACTTTAAGTTGAGGCTAAGTTAAGCCTAAATATTAGGAATTGTACGGTAATCACTAGGGCATCACAGCGAACATAATTAAACTACTTAGATATTAAAATTATAATAATAATTTTTTTGTTATTAAAATTAAATTTATCTTAATAAATACTCTTGTCTATCTATATATATATATATGTTAATCACAAACTTTACTTCCTCCTCTTTAATTACCTTTTAATCACACAAAAATTCTTATTAAGGTCAGATTACTAAACCCCACTAACATTTGAAAAATTTAGCCATTTATTTACCCTGATGGTACTGTATATGATAGATAAACGGAAAAGTTTCGAATAATATATGATGAGGGTATTGTATATCATGTAATTTGTAAGAACATTAGATAACATCCAAGCATTTTTATATCTATTTTATACTTAAATATTCCTATAAAATTTTAATTTTTAAATAAATATATTGTTGATGTTTGATTTTAACACTAACAAATCGCACATGAAAAATGTTGAACGGATTTAAAAGACATACATATACATGGAAGATTTGGTTAAATAAAAGATGAAGAATAATGTTTCGTTTATCATAAATATATCTAAATCTAAATCGAAAATAAATGAATTAAGGTTACAATTTAATGTTTCCAGTTACGATATGATATCGAGAGTTATCCAACTCGCTCAGCTTCCCACATCTCTTCTCGTAACTTTCCAAGAGCTCCATCCTAAAGTGCACATGCAACTTTAACTAATTAGTACATTTATTGTCAATAAATTATAACTTTTAATTAATAAATAAATTTAAAATTACCAAAAGGCTAAACATTGGAATGGTGCATATTTATCATAAATTTCTTTCACATCTTTATCTACTGTTTTTGCGTGACAACTCTCTGTTGACTGTACCTGTAAGATAAAAGAAAAAAAATAATTAATTAAAGCTGTGATTAATTTATGTTCGTAATTAAATAATTGAATTAACCTCTTTCAAATGTCTGATAGTCTCGGAATCTGTTGGAACCTTCTCATAAAATCCAATACAAAACAAAATATTGGCACATACAAATGGACCAAACCCTTTATTATCCTTCAATGTTTTGTAAAGTAGGAAACTCCCTCTTTTTAATATTTGTGAAGGTTGACTTTCACATTCTTAACTTTTCTGACAAATTAAAGAATATAGTTGGCTTTATATCCAAGTTTACAACATTTTTTCGAAAACTCTAGTTTCAAGCTCACTATTTATTTTGAGCTTAGAAAGTTCCCCATTTTTTTAAATTTATTATTACTTAATTCTGCTTGAATTTCACAAAGAGCGCTTGGCATTCTCAATGTCCGCTTCCACCTATCCAACGGTTTATATATTATAAACTTAAATACGTACTTGAATATTCATGTAAACTGAACACAATGGTATAAAAATAATCTAACTATACATAAAGAAATTGAGACTTACGTGGTATTACAGAGGAGAATAGATTTGATGATATCTTCGAAGAGAGAAGGTGAGCGAAAAAGTCGACCGAATCCTTGATGTTTTGCTTCTGCATGAAACTCCCTCAAGTCGCTCTCATCTTTGTTGGATATCCTCAGCATTCTTACTATTTGATGCATGATAGTTCGCCGATCTTCCGATGAGAGAATTTGAACATCATAAACATGAATAACAAGAAAGTCTTGTCCAGTAGGATGTGAAACGGAAACATTTACAGAATCTGTAGCGTTCGTCAGTCGTAAAGGACGTTAGAAATATTTAGTAGAAGGATTGGAGCCATCATAAATAAGCCATGGTTGCAAATTGCCTTGGCTAAATTGAAGTTCGACGCGTGCTCGCCTAATGGCATACGCAACAAACAACTCTTCTGCATGCTTAATTAAGAAATCTAATAATTGCGAAAAAGCTTCTATAAGTTGGGGTGGGTCATTGTCGGAGGGGAGACGGTAACAATGTATCCAGCTGCCTATTTTGAGTTTGACGTGTCAAAAGATCAATATCGATAATTTCCAAATAGTCTTCTCTTCTCCCACCATATAAATATAATTCCTTCACATTTCACCTCTTTCTCTTTTTCATCACATCGCATGCATGGAAAGATGTAATGAAAGGAAATTAATTGGTTATTAATTGTAGATGTTCAAAAACGTGGTGGAATTTACAAAAGCATGCTGTGACACTTGGGGATTGGGAACGTCGTATACGTGTGAAGTCGCGTGTGTTCAACTCTACACGTAACAGCCCTCTTTCGACTTCAAAAATTGTTGCTTATTTTAACAATTCAAATCAAATCAAATATCTTCTTAAATAGTCAAATACAGTCATTTATTAGTGTGTGCATATATATATAACCTACATGTAAATTTATATTGGAGTTTCTATGTAACTTTACAAAAACAATTTATTTATTAAAAAAACTGTTTAAATTTTTTAAAAAGATGGTTAATTATTTTAAAATATAAAAATTATGTTCGAAAGAATTGAGAATAACTGTGTCAGACTGACTCAATTCATTTTAATGGACTTGATTCAATTGATGATTTCATATATTTTTTAGAATACAAAACTAAATAACTAAATAAATAAATAAAAATAATAAAATAATTTTTTTGTTATTGAAATTAAATTTATCTTAATAAATACTCTTGTCTCTATATATATATACTAATCACAAACTTTACTTCCTCCTCTTTAATTACCTTTTAATCACACAAAAATTACTATTAAGGTCAGATTACTAAACCCCGTTAACATTTGAAAATTTTAACCATTTATTTATCTTGATGGTACTGTATATGATAGAGATAAACTTTCGAATAATATATGATGGGGGTATTGTATATAATGTAATTTGTAAGACCATTAGATAACATCCAAGCATTTTTATATCTATTTTACACTTAAATATTCCTATAAAATTTTAATTTTTAAATAAATATATATAGATGATGAAATGCATTCGCGGTTCTTTAAAAATATGATATACCGTTATTATCATTAAATACCCCGTTAACAAATATCAAAAACTCTCTAACAAAATTTTTGAAGTAAATGCATGCTTGACAGCTTATTAATTTCTGTTTATAAAATTTTAATTTAAGAAATCTTTGGTTAGAGCCGTTTCATTAATTGTTTACAAAAACTATTCTAAATAGGGATATGATAGTGGTATTTAATTATATAATTAATGCATCAATAATATCATCAGTCACCTCTTACACAACTTTTCCCCTTCTCCCCAATAATAATAATAATAATAAAGCTCCATTGCGTGATATTGCTACTAAATGTGAGTGTTCTTGTGAATGACTTAAATCATAATTCCATGGCACCTCAAAAGAGGTCATACGACAATGAAGAGGAAGGTAAAAATGCTTCTGATTTGAAAAGGCGTACAGAGAAGAAGAAGAAAACAAGAACGAAGCTGAAAGAAACACAAGAATTATTTCATTTGCTTTGAAAAAGGTAAAATCTGATTTGAAAAGAAGTCAAATCCCAAAGCAACCGCCGTTTGCTACATTGGAGCATGGGCCATCATCAAGAATTCACTAGTGTTTGTATAATTAATTATCAATGTATTATTAATCACCTGTTATTACATATGTGAAATTGCTACTGCATGTGAGTGTTCTTGTAAAAGGCTCAAATCATAATTCCATGGCACCCTCATACGACAATGAATAAGAAGGCAAATAAGCTTCTGAATCAGAACCCCATTTCAATCCAACTAAAAAGACGAAACAATTCTAAGCGTTGCAATCCAATTTTCTGATAAAAAAGGACTCGACCCAACGCCAACTGTCCTTGGCCACAAGACTCATTTTTTGACATTCATGAAACAATCCATTTCCTATTACTTAATTTTAACAAATCATAAACAATTTAATTTCAAGATATTCTCTTTTTTTTTTTTTTTTTTGGTTATTCATTTAGCGTTTGTATAATTAACTATCCATGTATTATTAATCAATTACAACGATTTAATTATATTTTAAGATATTTATAATTACGTTTACAATTATTTGAAATATTATGAATGTATTGATTATTATATTTTCGAATTATAAAATAGATATATATATCATGCGAAGTATGTCTTTATATTGGTCATTAATGCTAGATATAATTCATGTTTCATATGGCCTTAACAGATTATTCGACATACTTTGCATGGCCACCGGTTACAAGTTTCTACTAGGTTTTTAATTAAAATATCAAGCAACTGTTGGATTATGTTCTTATAAATCAAATGGTTTTTCTTTCTTGATGTATGTTCGTTTAGCGTAACATAATTTAACCCATCACTAACACATCTCTACCAATTACAGGAATACCGACCTCTATCAAAATGTAGGTAAAATTATGTTGCAAAATAAGGTCAAAGAAGTCTGCACTTTCATATAGATTTAACTCAATGATATTTTATGTTTAATGCATAGTTTCAAAGATTTCTTAAATTAAAACTGTCAACCTAATAGCTTAATTAATTCTCAAAACAACAACCACAAAAAATATAAATTATACCTAGCGGCCGGATGATTTCATGGCCTCCAAAACCAACTCAGTCTGCTCCTTAATCAGATCAGCCTGTTCCACAAACAACTGCAACCGAGCAATCTGCAACTTCTTCCACCTTTCCTCCAATTCCATTTTCTTGGCTCCTCCAATCATATCTAAACCCTGGTTCATTACAAACTCCTCCAAACCAGCCATTCCAACACTTTTATCAAACAAAAGCAGGCTCCCTTTCTGGTTTTGATTCTTTGTTGCTTTGCTGTTAGACTTTGCCACAGATTCAAGGACACCACTAGTACTTCCATTGCCCCATAGCTTTTTAGACAAATCATAAGCTTCTTGTTCATGGGGTTTCGAAAAACTACTATCTTCACCTTTCTTCCCAAGATTGTTCTCATACTTCTTCTTTAATCTCCTAATCTTTTCCATCACTTGAATTCTTGTAAATTCCACGTGAAACGATTTCTTGATAAAATGATGAAACGCATTCGTATCCTGATACGGGTCCATCCCTTTTTTCGTGGTGAAGTCAATCAACCCCTTCAATACAGCAATTTCATCCTCGTCGCTCCATACCCTTTGAAAAGGCTGCAGTTTCTTCGTATCATCTCCCGGCTTCTTCTGATCCTCCTCATCCGGATCCGCACCCATTTCCTTCTTCTTCGCCCGTTTCGAGTCCTTTAGAGACTCTTCCGTGTCACTGGGGCGTTTTTCCGGAGCTTTCGACCTTGGTTTTGAAGTGGTGGCTTCCATGGGTTCGGAATCTTCTTCGGAGCTAGAGAAATTGGATTGAGGGGCAGGAGCAACAGAGTGGGTTGTTTTCTGGGTTTGTTGAGGAGGAGAAGGTTTTGTGGGTTCTCCAGTTTGTTCATCATCGGAGGAAGTAACTTCATCAGAAGAACTCTCTTCATCTTCGGAGGAGCAACCAGCTAGTAGTCCTTTCACGCGGTTTACATTAGCAGCTAGTAGTTCTTTCATGCGGTTTAACTTAATGGGTGCCATTATGAAACGGAGATTAGGAGATTCAAGAGGAATTGAGTTGAGAAGGGAAGGTGAAGGGCTAGGGTTTGAAGTTGGGAATTGAATTTCTCGTTCCTCCCTCGAGCCGCTACTGTAAAGTATTATAAAGTATAAACGGCTAAAATGTAATTCGTTACTCATTCTTGGCTGTCTTTCCTAAAGCGTGTGATTTAAGTGTGCTCTTCTCATTTATATCAAAACATGCAGATTTCTTTTTATTCTATTTGTCTTTGTCTTGCTGGAAACTTGAAAGGAGTGGAAATTTCATGATTGAGTGCAGATTTTAGTAATGGGAATTATGGAGGCTGGGTTGTTAACTGTTGAATGGATATAAATTTGTTAAGATGAAATATTATTTTTATATATTTTAACTCATTTGTTTACTTATGCATATAATAAAGTGCATTGGTAGGTTTGTTCTTTAAAATGGGCTGCTGGATTAAATTGGGAGATAATCTTGCTAGTTAAAGAGTGAGTGGAATTAAACCAAAAAGAAATCTCTTTTCTAACTTCAAATAAAGTTTTGCATGTCAAGTTTTGGGTATGCTACCTTTTTTATTTATTTATTTTTTTTTTTATTTATGTTTGATATAATGTTGTGTTAAATGACTTTATTTTAGTGAAATCGTCAACCAAATTGAGTAGAATGTGTACAAAAATCTTTTATGTAGTTGAGATTTCTACTTGCATGTAGCTTTAAAATTATGGCATTTAAATATTTGGAGCTTGTGTTGGATATTTTTTTTATATATTGGGATGTTTGGTTGTGTTGTGCCATGGAGTTTTTATTTGACATTTTGGATATGTAGTTGGAGAAGGTTCATATTTACGAGTGGAATATTATTAAATTTGCATTTAAAATCATGTCTTTGTTAGAATGATCATATGCATGTGCAGACCCGATTGATTGAGGTTTTATTTTAATTCTTGAGTTTTGAATTTCTAATAAATACGTGCATGTGTTTGGAATTGTGGGTATGAAATTATGTTTATGAAAATATATTGAGTAAATTGCTATTAAAAAGGGCTTGGTGAAAAAGCTTGTGATAAATTGTGATAATTGCTAGATCCCACCTTGCCTGTCTCGGCTAAATTGATATGTGGATATTGCTGCCTTAAATTTGGCTCTAAAGAATGTGCTTACGCTTTGTATGTTACTTATAGTTATGTATGGCTTTTGCATGAATTGAATATTGGTGGAAATGTTTATCGTAATAATTATGGCTGAGATTTTCAGTTAAGCTGATGCATTGCAAATTGTACTGATTTTTTAGGCTTGAAATTTGCTGGACAATATATTAGATAGAGTTTGAATGGGTTTGTTTTGTGATGTTGCTAGAGTGCATATGGACATTGTGTAATGAGAGTTCTATTTAGAACATACAATCTAGTTCTCAAAATGACTTGGAAGGGTCTAATGTAATTGCATTGCATAAATTTATGGATGGTTATGAATATCTATATACACAGATCTTTGTGGCGAACTTTTACATGTAGTACAGATTTCTGTTAATGTAGAAAAGCTTATTTAATTATTTAGAATATAAGTTATTAAATGCTCCTTAATATAAGTTATTTCATTTAATGCATGTCTATATATATCTTCAACCTTTTATCTGTTTATCTCCCATTCCAACAATCAATCCAGTTTCTTCATGGAACCGGCTCACATTCTCACAACCAAAACATCATGGAGTCAAGACCAAGAGATCTCAATCTTAAACGCAGTGATCCAATTCTCCACAAAAGATCTGACAACTCCTTCAGATTACATTACTGAAATCTATGCATTCATAAAACAACACAAACGGTGGGTGATTTTACTCAAAATCAGTTGTTGAAGAAACTGCTCCAAATGAGGAACAATTACAGAGAGAGTTTGATTAAGGGACCGGCAGAATTGTTTCAGTTTCCGATCCCCATGAGAGCAAATATTGAGTTGTCGAAACAATATGGGGTGGAATTGAAAGTCCTGAAGCAACGAGTGAGATTTGCTTGAAGGAGATGGCGAAATTTCATGAACAGAATGTGGGGTTGGAAGAGAAAGTGGTTCAGGAACGACTGAAATGAGAAGAAGAAGAATAGAGGAAATGCTATGCTAATGAAGTTGGTGAGAATATCTTTGGAGATATGGGCTTGGCAGCTGGTACAGAGAGACATTAATTGTGCTGACATAGGCTTTACTTTTTGAGGCATAACAAACCTCATGATTTTTTTTCTTTTTTTTTTTCATTAAGGATTTGAATTAAAGTATATTTTTAAGAGATTTGAGTTATGTTTTTGTTGATATTTTTTGTTATTATAAACAACTATTGTTTTTAACATTTTGTATGACTATCACCGCTCACCTCGTATTCAAAGTAGGCCGTGGCTCTCATCTGCAGTATCCATCCATACACTTGATCATAACTCCATTCACCACCTGAGTGTTTCACAATGCATGGCATCCCAAAAGAGGTCATACGAAGGCGAAAGAGCTTCTGAATCAGTCAATCCAACCAACAAGACAAAGCAACAAGAATCATCATCCACTAAGAGAATTTGGAGTGAGGATGAAGAGATTTCAATTCTAAATATCGCAATCCAATTTTCAGATAAAAAAGGAGTCGACCCAACTGCCCTTGGCCACAAGACTCATTTTTTTACATTCATGAAACAATCCTTTTACTGTGATTTTTCCAAACAAGAGGTAGCCAAAAAATTGAACAGCCTGAAGAAAAAATTCGAAAGAAATTTCATCCAAGGTAAGGCCCTTGCTACTCCACATCAAATCAAAGTGTCTGAGCTCTCATTGAAGTTATGGGGTGGCAAAAGAAAAGATAATTGTGTGAGTGCCAATGAGATTTCAAATATTATAAGTAAAAAATTAAATGTTGGATTAGGAGAGCATGTTATTAAGGAAGCGATGAAACAAAAAGGAGAAGGTAAGATGGTTGAGTTGTTGCAACAATGGAAGGAAGTCGAAGAACTTGAATTGGAGCTGAGCTTGAAAAGGGCTGAGTTGGTGATGTTTGAGAGTCACGCAGATTATGTTAGATGTGTACAAGAAGTCTCCAACTATGCTGTGATTTTGTTATTGCAATTGCAATTGGTGCTGGAAATTGTACATCTTTCTTCACTAAGTCAGGTGCTCCTACAAAGACTTAATTTGTTTTTTATTAGAATAACACAATTGTTTGTGTGTGTGTTCAGCTGCTGACATTTTACTTTGGAGAAAGAAGCAGATGACAATAAGCATATTGGCTGGAGTGACAATGGTATGGCTTCTGTTTGAGTGTATAGGTTACCATTTGATCACTTTTATTTGCCATTCCTTAATCCTCTCTTTGTCAACATTGTTTCTGTGCTCCAATGTAGCTGCTTTCAGTGGCCTGTAAGTTCTTTTTCTCTCATTGAATTGCTGCTTTTCTATTTCTAAATATGAGCTGTGCTCCTTCTTTTGAATCTTATTGCTTAGTGTATAGTGAAAGCAATTTACAGGTCTCCACCAAAAGCAATTGCTGGTTTTCTATTTCTAAATATGACCCTCTTATACTTAAGTGAATTCCTGTTTGTTCTCCTTATTTTATGTCTATTCTTAACTCTAAACAAGATGATGAATCTGACTCTACGGTATGCTTAAATTGTAGTCTTTGTGATGGCACTGGCGCTGACGCTGCCAATGCTGTATGAGAAGCATGAGGATCAAGTGGACAGTTTTGCAGAGAAAGGTTCAAATGAATTGAAGAAACAATATGCAATGTTAGATGAAAAGTTTCTTCACAAACTCCCAATTCTATCTGGCCAAAAGCAGCATCGGTCATAAGCTGATCAAAGGCATATTATCTGGAGTCAGTCTCTTAAATTTCTGCTTTTTCTTTGAACAATGTGACCGCTATATGTCGATCAGCTTGACTAGTTCTAACAGTTTTTCAATGTCCTTTCATATCAAGCATTTGTGTCAAACTTACTGCTAAGCATTATATTACAGAGCCATGCATGATTTAATTTTCATTTCACTGCCTCTATTTTTAACAGATCAGATTGGTTGTGAACAATGTTACTTCTAGAATATAATTGATTTCTTCAAAGTATTAAATACCAACTACTAAAATTTAGGTCCTGAAGCACTAACCTTGAGAAAAAAAATATCAACTGTCTTCACTATTGCATGCAAACCCCACTAGCTCCAACTGTCAGTTGCTACTTACTAATACATAGAAAATTCCTCACCGTTAACAGAAAAAAGAAGGGCAAAAAGAGAAGGAATAGGTGTCTTATACTTTCGACTCTTTTGATCCAGTGGGCAAGAAGGGCTCCCACCATCCATATTCGTACTTAGGATAAGGTGCCACCCATTTTTCTGGCTTCTCAAACTCTAATGTAGCAGGATTAGAGGCTAGAGCTTCGTCTAGACTGTCAGCTTCGTATACGTCCGACAAAACACGGTCCAGTCTCAATTTCATAAACCTGCAAGACAAATGCTAAGCAATATAGACGTAATTGGGAAAATGTAAAGTGCAAGAAATGAATAAAGCAATTATTTAAACCTAAAAAGGTGACTGTGGTTTCCATCACTATGGAACAATCCAATGTCAGGCATCAAACTAATGGAAGTGAGGTAGAATAGTAATCAGAAGATAATCTACAATGCAGCCAGTAAACACATGATAAAGTTGATTTTTTTTTCATCATGGTCATTAGCATTTAGTATCTAACAAGACCAAAAGGCATGGTGAAGATTCCGAGTACCACGGGATTATTTCCATTCCATGAGCAAGAGTATTGGATATATTTACACAAGCAAAAATTTCAAAAACAGTACTTTTATGTGTTTGATACATAGTTTTGTTGAGAAGCATCTTAGGTTGATTCATCTATTTTGATTTGTTATTCAAAGACAAAAACTTCATTTCTTGTCTGGGAATTCTATAAAAGACCATCTACAAAGGATAAAAACTTCATTTCTTGTCTGGGAATTCCATAAAAGACCATCTACAAAGGATAAAGACTTACAGAACTGCTATACTAGTAATGCCTTTTGTATTTTTCATATAAATGTCACAGAGCAGAGATCATTGCTTTTATGATACTTTTTTAAGGACTACTCAGAAGCTATTGGAGATTTGTTATATTCATTGAAGAGAAGTAAATTGGGATTTTGAATTTGAATGAATAACGAACAAGAGCAAAAGCAAAAAAAATTGCAGCAGAGGGTTTAAATAGGAATTCAAGCCTGTATACACCAATTTACAAAACAGAAGAGAAGTTCACTAACAAGTTCTATCCGGTATCCAGTTCAGCTAGTTTCAGAGGAGTAGCTGTTTGTGTAATAACAGGATATTCCCATTCGGGTATAAGGTAGTTTTGTGATAGATTTTTCTAAGTTGCCATGACAGCAGCCTTGGTTTCACTTTACTTTGCAATTTTTCTGGTTTGATATCAGTCCCATTTTTATCTTGGGAGAAAAAAAGCATTAACTGAGCCAGAAAAAGGACCATCACATGGACAACAAGAGGGTAACCATGGTTATTAACTGAGTAAATGCCCCAACTAGTAACAATAACAGTGCTGTAAACAGGAACACAACAAGAAAAAAATGCAGAATGGTACAAGTCTAGCCCGGTTTTCGCAGAAAGAAAATGCTTCTTAGTTTGAATCTATGTAATTTGTCACACCAAAATGTAAAGTTAACTTGTACCACTACCATAAAACAACAGAGCAAGCGATCAATGATTCAAATAACCAGCGAACATCAATTGCAACAATTCGATGAACGGCTCATTGGCATACATATAAATGAACAATACCCCCTAGAAACGAATGAGCTTCGGAAAAAATGATTGGAAGTTACTCTGTATCAAATTAGAATGTCAAATATCAAATAGATATATAAAACCATTAAATGAATTTCCAGAGATTTAAGTCCTTTCCTTTTTTTTCAAAAAAGAAGAAAGAAAGAGCATTCTTACTCTCATAACTCTAAGTTGGACAACTTTCAAATAGCCTAAACAACAGAGCAAGCGATGAATGATTCAAAATATAGAAAAATATGAGCATTAACTATTGAATCTAAAGAAGCAAAATATGGCAAGAAATGAGGGTTAAATTCTTACGTAATCCAAGGGCCATTAGTTGAAACCAAAGCGACAGCAGGTCTGCGTAATCTTTTAGTAATGTTGGGGAATTTATCCAAGAATTTCGGTTCAATCACAAGCCAAAAATCCTGCTCTTTATCACGTTCGCCATAGTTTCGACGCCTCTCAAACATGAGCTCCTTGAAGTGCTCCTCTTCATCGAGCATGAATTTCGCATTCGCAACAACAAAATAATACTTGTTGGCTTCCTCCTGTGCATCCAAACATCAACAAAATCAAAACCAAAACCAAAATGTTATCTACAATTTGTAAAAATCTAAACATCTATTCAATCAAATTATTAATCTGAGGAAAAAAAAAAAAAAAAACCTTTTCAGGAGGAGGATTGGAGGAGGAACCGAGTTGGTTAGATTCAATAGAAGCCACAGCAGTTTTGAAGGAAGAAGAGTTTCTGGTGGGGCATTTCTTGAAGTGGGTTTGGGAGACCGTGGGGAAAGATAATGAGGGTGATCTCACTGAAGCTCCATATTGAGTGGAAATGGGAACACCACCTACTGTCAAACTAAGGCTGCCTGAACTTAACATTTGTGAGTAATTAGTTCAGCTTCTTCTTCTTCTTCTTGTGATTCAAAGTAGTAACGGGCAAGAGGAAGAAGAGAAGAATTGCCAATAGGGGACAAACCTTATCTTGTTAGTTATCTACAATTCCATCTTTAATTTTCTTTTGTTTTAAGAATTAAATAAATAATAAGCTAAGCTCTCACATCACTATCATTCCAGTTAAAAAAAAAAAAGAGAAACCATCAAACCTGCCCATGGGATTACTTAAACTGGAGGAGTTATTTTTACTTAATTGAGTTTATTTCTTTCCCTTGGGTTTCCTCGATTAAAATATTTCCCCTCGGGTATAAAAACTATCAATGTACTCCCTCATAGTCATGTCATGTCTAAGGGTGAGTATGGGTAAAGCATAGACAAGATCAATGAGTACCATTAGGATCTACTTTCGTTTATAAAAAAATTGGAACTTGGAATTCCAGGGTCAAGTTTCAGTTCCTACAATGCTAGAACCATGAACCAGGAATTGGGAACCGAAATCGGAATTGGAATCGGGTTCGGGTGGTTGAAACTAGGACTGAATTATAATTTTTGTAAACTATTGAAGGTGTATTTGTAATTTTATGGGGGTGTATTTGTAATTTTATGGGGGTGTATTTGTCATTTTCTTAAATAGAGGTAATTGAAATTAACTCGAAACCGCAACCTATGTTTCAGGTTTCTAGGAATCGGAACCAACCAGTTCTTCTTCTGGTTCCAAATCTTAGGAATCGGTTAGTTCCGGTTCCTTCAAAAAATGCAAGGTACCTGAAACCGATCATCCCTACTCATGTCATGTGTCTGTTCTTGTTAATTTTCTAACACATTTTACACCTAATCCATTAAATTAAATAAAGAAACTCTAACGAAGTATTGAGGACAGAGGTAAATTGTTATTTCTGAAATTTTAGAGGGAAACGTTTTTTTAAGGAGACCTCAGAAGGGAAATTTCCATTAAACCCAGCTAATTTATTATATATATTATCATTAATTAAAATATTATAATCAATACCATTTTGACTTATGCAATGACCAAATCACCCCTAAACAAAAATTAAAATAGATCGGAAGTCTTATAAAAAAATTCATTTAACATAAAAAATTCAATAAAATTATCTAAAACAATCAAAAAACATATAAGTTTTAAGATATTTTTTGAACTAGGTAGGTTTCTGACTATTGATTCCAAAAATTTTATGATTTTTTTTTTTTTTATGAGTTTAATATAATTTAAAGACTTATTGGTATTTTTAAGAATACATTTTAAAAATTTCTAGGCATTTCTTTTGAATTTTTTAAAATTCTTTTAAGGGTAACATTATCATTTAAAAAATTTTAAATTTATCATTCATTGGTCAAAAGTTAGTTTTAATACAAAAAAGTAAGGGTTATTAAAATTGACTAAAAATACGAGGGTCTTTACAAAATTAACAAAATTTACTCTGTAGCAATGAATCCAAACAATGCCACTTTCCTCATTTTGCCCCTCATATAAAAGGGAAAAATCTCTCATATTTTTAATTTTCCTTGAGATCGGAACTTACAGTCACTGTCTTTCTCAGCCAAATCGGTCGTCGAAATTTGGCAAGTCTGTAATGGGAGATCGGATAGTCGAGTTATATACCCCGATTACTATATATATATATATATATATAGTAATCGAGGTTCTATATTAACTAAAACTTTAAATCAAAATGGGAAAGAATTTTAGTTTTATTTTGAAATTAAAAGTTAGGGTTTTGTTATATTTAGGGTTAGGGTTTATTAAGCTTTTCCCTTTTTACCCTTGACCTTATCATGTTGACCTTTTGGCTTTTGCCCTTTTTCTAGTTAAGCTTAAATGTCAATAACTTTTGTCCTTCTTCTATGTTATATATTTAAGTCGGTCCAGCTAATTAGAATTTTCAATGCATTCAACTCCAAGCTCAAAAAAATTGCATGTGCCTTTAATCTCTAAAAAAGGAGTAACAGTTCCATTATTTTAAGTTTTCACATAAAGCTAACTTGCAGGCTGAGCCGGTGTTGGCTCTTTCGCATGATACGTGTTGATACAAAAATTTACACCAACCAGAGAGATCCGATTGACCTTGGTGGAATCAGAACGGATATGGGCGAGACTATGGATTATCAACGATGAGTGAATGATAAGTGCAATAAAGTAAAAGATAATAAGATTTTTAAAGTGGTTCGGCGAGGTAACCTCTTATGCCTACATCCACTGTTTTTGTATTTGCTGTGAGAGCTTACAATAAGAGTTCTATGGAAAATTTCATGAGGTTTACATACAAGGTTCGTATAAAGGAAAAAGCAAAAATAAAGGGATTACAATTGATTTGAACAGCAACTATGATATTCTCGCGATTGGGTGTTGTGATTGCGCAGAGATTGCTGTTAATCTGGTCATTCTCGTAATATTTGGGATCAAAGTTATTTGGAAATTGATTGACGATCATTCGGGTTGTTTGCGACTACCTTATGCTGGGTCAAGCAATATGTCGACGAGCTTATGCTGGGTCAGACAACCAATAGAGTCGGACTGATTCTGAGTCGATCTAATACCTTGCAACTCACTGAGCTTGATGGAAAAATCACACACAACATCTACCCCTAGTGTTCGATGCTCGTTTCGGGCTTCAAAGATTGTTGCTCGATTTGATATCAAGCTCGGCACTACTAGCAGGTCACCGGATACAGGTTCAGTTGAGCTTCAAGGGTCAACCTCACGCCCAGTCAACGTACTTCACACTTGGATTTTCATTTCTTGTGACACCTGAAAAAACTTAGAAAATGAAAAGTTAGGGCAAATTTGTGATTTCCATGCAGTCATGTCACATTAAATGCAGTAGCCTTTGTTAGTCATGTTTCGTCGCGGGTGGGTGACTACAATTGTCCACGCGCGAAGTCGAGGTGACATGCAGTGATGGTTATTGTTGTAGCAGTCTAACGGTTCGTCACCCCTCGTGGATGGATGACACATGGCCATGTCTAAGGGCTGAGATTGCTCGATAAATGAAGAGTCGAGATTCACTATAGATCGACAGCTACAATTAAACCCCGCCCTTTTGTCTTCCATGCAAACCACTATAAAAGGTGGAGAAGTAGTCAGAATATTCATTTTGCTCACTTTGTAGTTGTTTCATCATCGTCACGATACTCTTTTCGACAAATTCTTGCACTTTTTTTGTTCCGATAGGGTTCTTTTCCCTTTCTTTATCCATTTTTCCAATTTTTGTGGCGAAGGGTGGCACTGTTGTGGCCACATTGAATGTTCTAGGGCTTTAGTAGGGTTTTTGGGTGCATCTCTGGTGGTCTTTGGTTTAAGGTGGGTTTAACTCGGTGGTCGTCGGAACCTTGGGTAGGTCGCATGCGTTCGTCGTGTGGCGCAAGCTATCTTGGGTGCCTGAATTGAAAGCAAAAGTGAAATGGTCGTCGAGTTTTTTGAGCTCTGACATATGTTTGCTTCTGTTTCAGGTATCTAAAAGAGAGCTATAATCATGTCTTCCTCCAACAGTCACATAATCGATCACATGTTTGACTCGCCTGTGGGCTAGGTAGTCTTTGGGGATGTAACCCCCAAGTCTCCATGGAAATCATCGCGCAAAGCTGAAACCCCGACGCAATGGACTCTTCCCACCATGCCTCAATACAGTTGGCTCAATCCAAGCGGTCTCCAGTCCATAGGCTGTGAAGAGAACCACAATCCTTGATTACCATTGGGGATCTGGAGCACATAAGAGCAGTCTATGTGCCGCAGCTTAATTTGATGGTTCTGGGGGATTCTTCTCGAAAGACTCCCCCGCCTGGATGGGTGGCGATCTCTAAGACCCTCCTGAGATGTAAGATATTCGTTCCTCCTCATCCTTTTATTGACATCATGTTGAGGCGGTTCGACATTATTCCTCTTCAACTGTTCACAATTCATATGTAATTATCATCGCTCTGTATATAGCGTATATGATCGCTGAATTGGGCAAGCCATCCGTCAAGGAGCTTATCCATCTGTATAGGCCTAAGAAAGGACAAGACCAGATGTACTGCCTTTCCAAGGCGAGGAAGGTACGTTTCAATGGGCTGGTTGATGTCCCGAAGAAGGTCCCGCATTAGAACTCACAATTTTTCTTCTATGAAGCCCGGGAGACCCGCGCCTTTGCTTCAGAAGTGTGTAAGACTTTGACTTTCCATGCGTGCGAGGATAGCTTTCGAGCTTTGTATTCTAGCTAACTTAGTTGCTTTATTTTGCAGTCAACATTGAGCAGAACTATCTTCTTGCCACGAGCTTACAGAGGCATATGACTTTTGTCAAGACGATGCCAAGTTTCCTACCGTTTTGCAAAAAGGTTTAAGTTATCATTTACTCGCGCTTATTTTCCCACGTGGATAGATCGCTCACTGTTTTTTTTTTTTTTTTTTTTTTTTTTTTTTGGCCGAAAAACCAAAAGGCCTTAACAAGAAGGCAGTACCCTCGGCAGTTACCAAGAAGACATCGGTTGCTTTGGCAACGAAGCAGCCCCTTGACATTGCTGGCGTGAAATGCAGCGGTGGCGAGCTTAGGGAAGGCCCAAACGTGAAAAAGCCCGTGACTGCCTCAAAGGTAGTTTGTGGAAATAGTGTCTCTGAGCCCTAAAAGAGGCCGACAAAGAAAATGTCTGAGCTAGTTGGTGGCTTGGGAAAATAGAAAGGGCTTGAGTAGTACGATGGCTTTGGTAAGAAGAAATTATTTGAGCCTTAAGCGAGTTCGAAAAAGCAGAAAGTGGTCGAGCAGCATGTTGGCTCGAGCAAAGAGGTCGTCATGTAAGCTACGGCCTATAGAAAACAACGGCCAAGGATTTGACCAAGAAGAAGTCTACTCCTACAAGCGAGACTGGTGCTGCTGGGGGGAGTAAGTCTAGCTCGTCCCGGCCAAAAAGCAAGAAGATAGATGAAGCAGCCCAAACTATAGTTGACGCACTAATCAACCAACTCCCCAACCATATTAGCGTTGGGGCCGCAGCGGCCATGGACAACGTCACCCTATAAACATTCGCGGCTGTT